GGAACTCCACCGAAAGTCCCAATGGTTCAGCTCGCATGCGTCTCCCATACCCAGTACAACGCTTCATGACCCCGCAGGGAACACCACCGACGGTCCTAGGCTCGCAACCCGCACGCGCCTCCCCCACCAACTACAGCGCATCGTCAACCGAAGGCCCCAGTGTCGGAGCCCGCTTGCGCCCCCCCCCCCGCCCAATACAACGTTTCGTGGCCCCGTTGGGAACACCACCGACGGCCCCGGGGGCGCAGCCCGCATGCGTTTCCCCCACCGAGAACAGCGCATTGTGTCCCATAAAGAACTCCAGGGAAAGCCCCAATGTCGCAGCCCGCGTGCGACCCCCCCGCCTGGTACAGCGCTTCATGGCCCTGCACAAAGGGTTCCACCGAAGACGATACCTACAAATGCGGTATTCCAACTGCACTTGGCCGGATCATTCGCCAGGCAATGTGAATATTCTTGTTGCGAAACTATGTGTGTTGCATGTGTCGGGACATTCGTGTTTTTGTCCGTGTTTTTTTGGGATATTTATATATATATATATATATATATATAAAGAAATAAATATATACATATATATATATGTTTATATCTACATAAGTATATACACATATATATATATATATATATACCTATACGACCACCCTTCGGGTGATAAGGAGGTTCGGGGGGGGAACCAACGTCGCACTCGATCGGTCTCACTATCGAACTCAGAACCGATCTCACGATCGGTCTCGCTTGATCGATCTCACTCGATCGATCTCACAATCGAGTTCACTCGATCTATCTCATTCGATCGATATCACAATTGATCTCACAATCGATATCACAATCGATCACACAATCGATCTCACATCCGGTCTCAATATCGATATCACTATCGATATCACAATCGCTCTCACAATCAACGTCATCATCATCATCATCAACATCATCGACATCAACATCATCACCAACATCGTCATCATCACAAGGGCACCGTCATCATCATCATCATCATAACATCATCATCAACGTCAGCATCATCATCGGGACAACAACATCATCATCATCACCATCACCATCTCATCATCAACATCATCATTATCATCGGGACACAGTCATCGTCATCATCATCAGCCGCATCATCAGAATCATCATCATCATAATCGAAACACCATCATGACCAACATCGTTCTCATCATCAACATGATCATCAACATCGTCATCATCCTCGGGACACCATCATGACCATGATCATCGCATCATCATCATCATCATCGACATCGTCATCATCAACAACATCATCATCATCAGTGGGGCACCATCATCATCATGAGCAACATCATCATCAACATCGTCATTATCATTACTATCACCAGGACACCATCAGCATCACCATCATCATCGTCACCATAATCACTATCATCATCATCAACATCATTATCGGGACACCATAATCATCATCAACATCATCATCAACATCTTTATCGCCGGGACACCACTATTTCCATCAACATCATCATCACCAACATCATCGGAATCATCATCAGCATCATCATCATCGGGACACCATCATCGTCATCATCATCAACATAATCATCATGACCATCCTCATCCTCATCATCGGGACACTATCATCATCGACACCATCATCAACATCATCATCATCTTCATCGGGACACCATCATCATCATCTCATCATCATCATCATCATCATCATCATCATCATCATCATCATCATCATCATCATCATCACCATCACCATCATCTCATCATCATCATCCTCGCGGGACACCGCGGGACAGCGGCGGGACACCGCGGGACACCGCGGACACCGCGGGACACCGGCGGGACACCGCTGGCCCCCGGCCGCCCGGGAGTCATTTGGCCCGGCCGCGCCTCAGCCACACGGGACACCAGCGGGACACCGGCGGGACACCGCGGGCCCCCGGCCGCCCGGAAGGGAGACATTTGGTCCGGCCGCGCCTCAGCCACAGGAGACTTTTTCTCGCCCGCCCACGCAGCTTCGCCTCGCCCGCACGGCACGCACGAACACGAAACCGAAATCGATTTCCCGGTAGGGGGGCTCTCCGTTCCACTTCGATCTCACCCCCCAACCTCCGACATATATATATATATATATAATCCCTTCGGCTTTAAATCGGATGGACGGTGGGGTAGAATCGTATACAAATCGTACTGAGAAAAAATGCACCCTTAACCCCCAGGGGGTAGATCCTGATACAGTGTGGGCGCGGCCGCACGACACCCGCGCAAGTCACCGCGCAGCGCGAGGAGCGACGAAACCCAAGATATCTTGACAACAAGCACATGGTTTCTTGATGCGCGCCCAACCTATGTGGCACAGTCGACGTGGTGCAACATATGAAGCGCACGCTGTTGTGCAACATTTGTTAGCCACAGACGGCACCATAGATGTAGTGCACTCTATTTGGCGTGATCTATGTGGTGCGCAACATGCGTTCTGAAATTTATGTGGTACAATCTACGCGACGCACTTATTTTTTACAAGCGGGCTGACACATCCCATGCTACTGCAGCCATCCTACCCGCCCGCCCGCAACTTGGTTTGCAAAACCCATGCGGGGGCGATATCGATGAGTGCTAAGCGCTGGCTGGTGCATATCCGCGGCCGTGCCAACCCGCGCATGCACAAGCGAGCAGCAGCGGCCAGATAGTTCGGCGCGACCGACGCGGCCGCGGCGGCGGCGCTGACCGCTGGGCACATCCCAACGGGCACTTCGATGCGAGTCGGCGACTTGGGCGGGCGCGGTATCATGGCAACGCCGGCGACGGTGAACATGATTATGATCATAACGATACTGGTAGCGATGCTGACAGCGACGACGGCACGGCCAGTGATGGCGCCGATGCTGATCACGCCGACGGCGATGACGGCGTCCTCGCGTCAATGGTGAAAGTTTTGGAAGGAGTTCGACATGCGCGCGCGGCCGACGCACGAGAATGGCCCGCATGATATGATTTGACACGGAACGTGCCCCCCCAGCACGCGTGCAAGGGCGTTCGAATGATTTCGGCATGCGGCGAGGAAGGCCCGTCTGGCGGCATTCCATGAACATAATGAGACATGCACGGTCTCCATAAGAGTTCGCAAGAGCGCAAGCGCAAGCTTTCTTTACTAAGAACGGTTGTTGCGAAACCACATGTCATTTTAATGGTGTCGGGACACTCGTTTTTTTGTTTTGTTTTGAAATCCTTACGCAACCCAAGGTTTATGACGGATTCCGGAATGCGCAACGACGAGCGCGCGTTTGAATCCGTCCATTTGTCGCGACAGCACGTGGGAAAAGGGCGTACGAAAGACTTCAACATGCGCGCGAGTGAAGCCCGTTCGGCAGCAATTTCTGAACATGTTGACGAGCAGATGGTTTTCTTGAGAATTCGCAAGAACGCGCGCAAGCTTTTTCTGAACATCCGTGTTGATAGACCGTGCGTTTCAATATGTTGTGTTGGACGCTCGATTCTGGAATCCTTGCGTAACCTAAGGTTATTGAAGAATCTCGGCATGCAAGCGCGACGACGCGCGTATGCACTTCGTCCCGTTTTTAACACGGGATTATTTGAACATTGACTATTTTGATAAACGAGTGCGCGCGCATAGCATGTTTCCAGAAAGGATGACGGGGGGTGTCGATACCGGCCTGCCTGGGATGGTATGAGTTCATATTTAGGATGGGCGATGGGGCAGAATCGTATGTAAATTGGAGTGCGAAGAGGGGGGCGGATAATTCCGGGGAAGGGGGGTTATAATGTGATTCCTTGTAAGAAAGGAAGATACATGCGGTGCAATCTATGTGGGCCGACGGGGCGGCGACGGGGAGGGCGACGGCGACCACGGAGCTGCCAGATCGCTAGACAAGCCCAGACGACAAGTGGCGACGAGGGGGCGACGGGTCGGCGATGGCGACCACGGAGCCGCCGAACTGCCAGACAGGCCCAGTTCCTTACGACAAACCCTGAGCGCAGACACTGTTTGGGGAATGAACTTTCGGAGCTCCGCGCGGATTCCGTGGATCGGCGCTGACCTGAACGGTTTCCCCCGGGGCCGTAGACGACCCGAGGAGGAGGAAGAGGAGGGGAGGAGGGGGAGGAGGAGGAGGAGGAGGAGGAGGAGGAGGAGGAGGAGGAGGAGGAGAGGAGGAGGAGGAGGAGGAGGAGGAGGAGGAGGAGGAGGAGGGAGGAGGAGGAGAAGGAGGAGGAGGAGGAAAAGGGGGAGGCGGAGGAGGCGATGGAGGAGGAGGAGGAGGGGAGTAGGAGGAGGAGGAGGACGGGTCGCCCAAGCCCTTCGGAGAAACCCTCCACGCTGAACCCCGCCCGCGGCACGCGGAGCGCGCCAGGGGCGGTGGCGGGAGCGCCGCAAGGGGGGCCGTGGTCCGGGCCCCATCCATCAGGGCCCCTTCCCGGAACCGCCGACGTTTTGAGCAGGGGCCGACCGTCCCGAACAAAAACTATGTTCTTAAAACGTAATCCCGACGTATTGAAACAAGACCGTCTCAGCCAGAAATGTTCTAAGAGCATTTCGTGCAGACCACAACTGGTTCTTAGAACAGTCTTCGATAGGCCTATAGGCGAGCTTCGCCACTGCTCGATTCCTGGAACAACCGACGCTGGGCCAATGCTGGCCTCCTCTCTCCCGCGCACCTGCGCAGACGGCCCGCGGAGCGACAGGGGGGCGTTGGAGATCTTTTTGTCACTTTTTCCGGCAATGACCCAGGTTATGTCAGGTTGGGGGAGGTGGGCAGGAGGTGCCGGCCGAGAACCTGACCTTTTCGCTTTGGGCAGGCCCACGTATGCCCGCGCGCACCAGTACTGCGTACTCCACGTGGACTTGCGCAACCCACGAGGTTAGGTTACCAGGGGAGAGGGAGAGGTGCGGGCTAGATAGCCCAGGTTATCGCCAGACCCTTAACAAAAACACTCTCCAGGAGGTCCGCGCGAAGCTTCAAGCGTTTATGCTTATCTCGTTTTGTTTCTTCAGCCTGTGGTAGAGGTACGCGTTCTGCAAGAAGCTCAATCCGTACATCGCGGTGAAGACGCCGGCGAGCGCCAGGATCACGCTGATCGAAATGGCGCCGAAGGTGACCGACTGTCGGTGCACCTTGGGCTGACCGAGCTCCAGGCGGGAGGCGCCCAGGAGGTGAGACAGACTCGGTCCTGGTCATAGGCGAAGCCCCTTTGCTTTCAACAGCTTCGTTTGTCGACTTAGCAGGGTCTCGCGAAGGAAACGCACAGGTCTGGAGTCTGCTCTTTAGCCCGTACGCTGCATTTCTAGTGGTCCGAGAGACCCCACCCGCAGCCGACCGTCGCGCGAAGGAGCTTGAGACCGACAATAATGAGTGTAGATGACGAGGAAGAGCAGCAGGAGCAGGACGAAGAGAACGGGCGTCAGGGATCGACATCCCCACAGGACGTAGAACGTCACACGAACGCTACGAATTGGGGCCTTGTCGGGAGGTTCCTGCCATGTCTAGTGTAGCCCTGCCGTCCTCCCTCCAGTGTCCGGAAAAGGCACCCAGTCCCCCTGTCCTAGGGAGCAGGGGAAGAGGAAGCGTAGGAGGCAGCGGGCAAGGAGCAGGAAAAGGAAGAGCAGGAACAGGAGGATCAAACGAAGGAGCAGGGCGAGCAGGGAGGTGGAGGAGTACGAGCGGTTGCCGCACTCTTGCAGGGCCCGGCGCCCCACGCAGAGAGAGAGAGAGAGAGAGAGAGAGAGAGAGAGAGGACGGCACCGTGCCCGCGCATAGGACAGAATCGAAGAAATTGGCGGCATCAAGCGTCAACACCCCAGACAGTCAGGGAAAATAGTCTGTCCTCTGAGAATCGGGGTAAGATGACGAAGGAATTAAGATCTCATGTTCACTCTGCTCAGGGAGAGCGGAGGCGGGATGAGACATTGATAAGACAGATATCCGTTAAGCTAAACCACTCTATCAGGAATAGGAAGGGAGGAGGAAGGCCGAGGACGGACGACGACGAATCGCCCGCGCGCCCCAGCGCGCTCCTTTTCTCTCCTGCCAGCCGAGGTCGGCTGGTTTGAGCAGTTATACAGCTGCAGAAACGCAGCTTCAATTATGTTCTAATTGAGCATGAAGCGGAGAGGAGCATATTTACTCCCCCCGCGGCAGGCCGCGTAGAGCCCATCCACCCACAGCACCCCCGGCCTGTACATGTGCACAACCACCGGAGCCAACCCGAAAAAAACTTTCACGGCTCAACGGTGGCTGCCAGGGGGCCAAGGGCCGAAGAGGCTCGACGTTTCCCACCATCGTTATAAATAGTTTCTCTCCGCTGGACCGGCTTAGCCGACCAGTGGAGAGGTCCGCGCCCAACGCGCTTAGCGCGTGGGTAAAGTGCTTTGCGAGCGCCTGCCGCGGACGGAGTCACGCGGGCCGCGCTCAGTTGAGGCCCCCCCACGGATTCCACGAACTCTCACGCCTGGGCGGCGCCGGAGGCGGCGGATTTGAAGTCGCCGATCCTCCCGTCTGTACGTCCATGCCACGAGGCGTGCGAGACCGCCATCTCTCTCTCTGTCAGCATTTCCAACCAGCGCCGCCTCTCTCGGCGGGAAATGATGATCATGCTCCCACTTCGACAGCCAGGTCCAGTAAGGCAAATTGCACCATTCATCGTTAGCAAGCCACGTGGCCCTGTTCCGGTGGAGGTGATGCCCGACAAAGATTCCATTCACGTGGGTCGGGTAGGACTGGTCAGGGTCGTATGCGGAGCCATGTCCTGCGACGCTGATGGCAGCATCCGAGGCAGCGCCTGCGGCGGCGCCCACCGCCGCGGGCAGCGCAAGGCCGGCGGCATCATCGGCGGCCGCGACAGAGGCATCATCCATGGCTGCATCGCGCGCGCGTCGCAAATCCGACCGATCCCTCGCGTTGGGATCTTGTAGGTTAGCCTCTTTGGCCGGCGCGGCTGAGCCGGCGACAGAACGTGGGGAACCAATAGCCTCCTCAGACGCCTGAGCATCTGAGATGCCAGGTCGAAGAGACGGCGTGCGAGACAAAAGTCTTGCCTTTGGTCCAGCAGGCGCACGTGGCCCCACGATCTCGGCTTCGCCGTCGTGCTCAGGATCACTATCCCTACCGTTCATACATTGCAATATACTTCTGGCAGCAGTTGCCGCAGCGACACCATATAGTCCGCATGCAATGCGGAAAGGACCATCTTCCTTGTCCTGAAGATCGGTACCGGGGTCAGGATACTTATCCTGTAGCCAAGTTATGGCCTCCTGTATTATAGCACCAAGGCGACGGACGTCATTATGCACTTTCCTGCCCATCTTGTGGGCCCATGTTTCTATAATGTCGTCAGTCTCAACATCCGCACGAATTCGGCTGTCCAAGGCATATGCGTCGGTTCGTTTCTTTGATTCGATCTGATCCGTGCTCATCATTTCGGGACGAATGATTCGCCCCGGGTAACCCATGAATGGTCCTCCGATATGGAATAGCTGATTATCTCACGAATAATTGCGAAAATCCTTATGGGTCTAAGGCCCAGTTCCAAATTTGTGTTGGTACTAACCAATTGTCATCCACGAGTTTCTTGACCATCGCCGGGATCGCATAGTCTGCCGTTCCAGTCAAGGTAACCCTGCCGGGCGTAGTAGGGGTGATTCCCGTGTGTTCAATTATGCAATGAGCGGCAACTTCTCGAACTTCGTCCCCGAACAATCTTATTTTAATCAGATGGTCCTCCTGATGAAAGTATACGTGTCCCTCAGGTTCATCAAGTGTGAGGAGTCCGTCAGTTATCGACGCAGCCTTAGGCCCGCTGATCACTGTGAGGTCCAGATCCATGTGTGTCTGTTCACGTGCCCTCGCGGCTGAGCAGGAGGCATGTCGCAACGCGGGAACTATAAGACGATGGTCCCGACACATGCCGACCCGTCTTGCAACGGAATGAGAACTGCGAGTCGGTCGCGCTCTAAAATTGCTCTCCCAAGCGACCGGTAATCTCGCAGGAGGGTTGTCATTGTTGGCGTTGTTTCCAGTATCTTCAGGAAATACTCCGAACCATGACATGTCAAACTGTATGGCATCATCTATCGTGGCAAGTGTAGGAACAAAGAGGTTTGCTCTCCTCATGTTGTTGAACCATTGTGCCCAGCCAATCCTAGGAGTGATCAAGTCATCTGGTTCTTCAGGCCAGTGAAATGCTTGTAGTGCTGGGCAGGATCTGGGGCGGGCGTCCTGATCAAAACCAGTCGCCCACAATTTTGGCCACCATTTGTTAATAGGCGGGGCTCGCATCTGTACATTTGTGGCCAAGTGTTCTAGCCACGATATAAATATCTTGACCAAAGGCCTTAAGTATTCAAGGAAAAGAGCATGTCGCGCCGGAGGCTGAGCCTCGGCGTTTTCTGGGATCCAAGCTGGAAAGTTTCCCTGCTGGCTGTTGCCAAATATGGTGCCAGCAGCCGCCATTGTGGCAAAGCTGGTTTCCAATTTTCGCCCCTGCTGATTGTTGTTGGCAGCGTTTTTCGCAACATTAGCAGAAGCTCTCCCTTGTCTCCTTATCCGCGCATCCATGTATACATGACGATCCCATGGCAGAGATCCTTCATCCTCCACAATTATCAAAATACCAGGTGCCTCAAGAGATTGCGGGATAGTTTTGTACTTCCATGTCTGGGTCATGTAATCATATGAGACCCTATAGTTATATCGGATTGGGCAATTACAGACGGGACAATTGGCAAAGACCGTCCTCATCCAGTGGTAACGGAAGCAATGAAATCTCTCATCGTCATCCCACGGGGTAGATATAATTCGATATTGAATCGAGGTTTCCAACCTTGGTTCGTGGTCCCAATTAATAATCAGTCTCTCGTCTGTATTAACCCAGGCAATAATCGACGCGTTGTCGAAGATGACCTCGTACGAAGATAATTCGCGGTCAAAGAGTACCGTCCGGCGCATCTGGTTAATCTGCCTCACGAGCGAGACGGCTTTGTCGATGTCTGTGAATCTCGGTACCTCCCGGGACACCAATGTCCCGTCTGGGCATACTCTGTGCGAGAAGCGGGTGAGTACTCTGCCAGTGAAAACAAGGATAGTATCCCATTGTTCATGATGCTTGAGATTGGGGAGACATGGCCAGAAGTGGCGCATGTCTTCCACGTTGAAGGTACCCACCTTCGGCGGCTCCCCATTCCGAGCCTGGTTGCCCATAGATGCTACGGTTTTTATGGTGGGCGCTTGTCCATATCTCCTTTGGCTTAGCCACGGAGGAAAATCCGAGGGGTCAGGCATAGTTGGGCAGTTGTGCGCCGGAAGCAAACGCAATAAATCGTAATCTGCGGCATGGCACAGCCCAGAGTTGCCCTTTCGAAAGCAAACATTTCCACTCGCAGACTCCAAAAATGCCTGTAGGCTCGTAATATGCAGAAGAGATCCGCGACTCCTGACTTGGCCAGGGTCGCACGGGACATACATTCTTTCAATCGAAGCGGTAAACGTTGAATGTCCCTGACATGCCCTATGGAATATCGGTGTGGGCATTTCTCTTCCATTGATCTCTCGTAGAGATCTTATCTTGTGTTTGTCCCACAGAGCGTGGATTAGTGTTCCAGCAATCTCGGGGCTGTCTTTGGGGGAAGTCCCCAGAACATCGATTGTCCCTGCCGGCAGCGCAGCTAAGCTGTGTGCAGCCAAGGCGTACGATTGGAAAGTAAAGCCGTCATCATATAACATCTGCACCAGGTCTCCAAAATAGACCCAGCCTCCTGACGATCTAGCATAGTCCGAACAGTGCCTCGCGATGTATACAGCACATTGGCAAATTATTTTGGCCAAATCATCCGCTCGGAAACTCAGGCCACTCCAGGTGTCCGAACTGCCTAAGGCAGCCGGGTTTTCGCCGCCACCTTCTCCAACTATAAGTGGCCGCAAGCACGCGTGGGCGCCCGCAGAACATCCAGCAGGACAGTCATCGGAATGAAACTCGGCTCTCATATAATCCTTTGCATACGCGAAAGATCCGTCGTCTTGATTGAGACCTGCCAATATTGCAAATATTGGATCTTCCACAAATTCTGCCATGTATCGAAGCGACATTCCCGTTTGCTTACGGATGGCTTCGACGTTGGGC